TATTGCTTTTTAGTGCCGAGTGGTGGGTTTGTATTCCCATTCTTGTTACCATGATCAAACTACCGGTCACTGTGGGCAAAAGTAAAGAAGCCCATTTTAGTATATCATTCTTCTTAGCTGACACGATGCCAGGTATTTCACTAATTTCCACCGTTTCTCTGCTTATCATGATGGTGATAACTTCATTGTCTTCTTTGATCACTTTTATGGCATTGATTTCTTTAAGCACATTTATGAGCCTCTTCGCTGGCTTCAAATTCGCGGTTTTTTAAAGTTTTCAACGTCAATTTTAAGTTGTTCACCGTGGCCATTTTTCCACCTTTACACATTGTTGTTATGTCACACACGCAAAAAAAAAGTTGGTTTCTCTAGTTCTTTATTCGTGGTGAATTTCTCTCAGCCGATTTTCTTCTATCATTAGTTTTGCACATACTCTAGTGTGTAGTAGGTGACTATGGCCCCTGTATTGGCACACACCACTGTCACTTTGGTAGCGTAAAAATCCATGTTTCTTCTTTGCACTGTGTTTCGACAAACTGTTAAATTTACTTTTCTTCAATCACACCGATTACTGTTCGTAGCACTTCCAGTTTATTTGCGCTTGCTTCCATTCGTCGCACGATGATCGAAATTCACATATACTTTTACGCGGCACTTTTTTGACTTTGTACGCGGTCTGACTCGCGGGCTACTCAGGTTCACAGTTGGGAAAATTTTTCACACAACTGGCCAAACGGTCGCCATAAACTATGTCCGGTTTGCATAATTTTAACGGACTAGGTTGTCATCGAGTAAGTGGTATCTGGGTGCCGGAACGAGTCCGGGCCAGAGCACTGGGAATCTTTGAGGTTTCGGAATGTGGTGTCCTTTCGGAGCACATTGAAAGTCAAGCCTCGATGGTTGTCGAAAGACTCTGTTTAATTCATTGTTCAGATACTCTTTATAGCTAATTAATGATGATGTTTGCAATTTTACAAAATCGATTCTCTATGATGGATAGAAACGCCTGGGACGGCGGTGACAATATTTGATAATATTAAACGATAATAATAAACTACCTTCGGTACGCAACGTTGTTTTGAAATATGATTCTTTACTCGCCGTGGAACGAACGACCGCCAGTAGGTAAAAGAGGAAAGTCAGCAAAACATACCGTATGCACTTTTGCAATACTATTCGTTCGTAACTGACCTACCTTCTCTACTTTATCTGAATTGGTGATTCATCCCGGCTGTTTAGGCAAATGTAAATATAATTTAATATGTTTTACGGTGAGAGATGTTCTAGACAACTTGGGTACAGCACAACCTCGACTGTATCCAAGAAATATTTCTTCCTAATAATATTATATTCATAGGGTTAGAGAAACGTCATCAGATCACTGTGAAATATTTCTTCCTAACAATTGGTTTGGGTCTGAGATCATCTTATATACTTGTATGCCATAAACATCATTTTCATTTCAAGTCTTTATTACTCAGTTTCACTTACTTCCTTACTTCGTACTCTACATAATCCTCCTCCTGTACTCTACCTTGATTTCAACTGTAAATTTTATAAACAAAGTTGCTGTCAAAACGTGCTGGTCGTAGAATTTCATTGCGTCGTCGCAAAATTCTAAAAGTTTCTTTTCCGCTTCGAGAATCCATTTCGGGCTTGAATAAACCAGGTGAACCTGCATCTTCTGTTGTGGAATTTAGATCGATTTTCTTCGGAACCACCAACATTTCTTCTGTGTCTTGTGTAGCAGCGTTATTAGTAGTCGAGTTATTAGTTGGAGATGCTGATCCAGTAGACAAAGGAGCTTTTCTGACATCGTTTACATTACGGGAGTATTGGATTCCATTTGGGCTCATCAAAACTACCTTTGCACCATCTCTAGCTACGATCCGGAATCGTTCAGTTGAGAAAGTTGGATCAATTTTGTTTCGTTTTTGTTGTGCCATTTGAACTAAATCACCAACCTTAATAGTAGAATCTTTAGCGCCTCGTGAATAATCTGCATACTTCTTGCTTTGTAGCTTTGCATGAGCATCACGTTCAGCAACATCGGTACGATCTAACCCCGATTTGGATTGATCCCACAGGCTAGGGAAAGTGCCTCGAAATTTCCATCCTACCATCAATTCGAAAGGAGTAATACCCAATCTGGAATGTGGAACCATCGTATTGTGATGGTGAACGTACTGTTCAAGTGCATGTCGCCAATTGGAACCTTCCAACTTTGATGCTGCTAACGCTTTTATAATGCCCTGATTCTGCCTCTCTATATACTGCTCCATTTGTCTGAGGACTTAACGGTATTGCTTTTCTTACCTTAACACCTTTATCTTCCCAACACTTAGTGAAGTTAGTGCTTTGGAATGGTGGCCCATTGTCACTTTGAATTATTAGCGGACATCCCCACTGCCGGAAAATTCCACGTAGCGCTGCATTCGTTCTCTCAGCATCCGTATGTTTCATCTCAGCTACAGTCAAGTATCTAGAGCAAGTATCGATGACAATCAAAAACTCACCGTTTCCGGAGCCTGGCATTGCCAAAAAGTCTATTTGAATGACCTCCCATGGACCGTCCGGAAGAACTCTGCTGGATAACGGAATTGGAGGATTTTTTTTTTTGGACAACTGCATGCATGTTTCACATTCCTTTACGAAGTTTTCAACTGCTGTAGACATACCGGGCCACCAGAAAAACTGCCGCATTATTTTCTTCGTTGCTCCTACACCAACATGCCCACCGTGTGCTGACTGCATTGCCTTTAGGCGCATAGATTCGGGCAAGACAGCTCTATCGTCCTTGAAAATGAGGAATCCAAGGAATCTCAGATTCTTTCTTTGAGCTTCGTATTTCTGTATATCTTCAGGCCAAAAGTTACACTGAAGAGCTGTACGCATCTTCCGTAACTCATTGTCTCCTTCTGTTTGTTTTTCGATTTCTCCCCAGGTGATATCCATGCAGCCCGTATCAAGAGCGTACAAAAAGTGATTATAACATTATATATTATATATTATAGTAGTTTTGGGAACGAGATTTTGCCCACGAATGTTATAAAAATTGTTATAGGAATTTCCTGAAATTTTTAAAAAGTAAAGTATGATATATGATATATGAGATACACAAGAAAACAAAAATTATAGTGCTTGGAAAATGTTGACAGAACTTTTGAAATAATTCACAGTTTCAAGAAATAATGAAACAGGGACTTTGTAGATGTTCAAGGAATATAAAGCGATTTTCCGCCCCTCGGGTTTTTCTTATGTGGCAAATGCCACCTTCGCCACCTGTACAGTACGGTGCTGCTCATCATCATCAACTAGATACTACACTATTTGAAACAAGGTCATCAACGTCAGGGGCGGACGCATCGTTGTTTTAGGCAGTTAAGGGCGCAGGTCAATATTGGGTGCGACTACTAAGCTCAAATTTTAGGAACACAGCACTGATCGCATCTTCCGTTCATGCGGTCTCCATTAACATCCTGCGATGATAAATCCCTCATGCTTGTAAGCAAATCTCACATCCTTCGGTTGGGTGTTGTATTTTGGAATTCTCAGGAAAATTCAGGGTATTTTTGGAGATTTTAAGGTAAATTCTGTTAGCATACTTCAAGGAAGATCAAACAATTTCAAAACAGTTCCATTTACACCAGAAAATATGTGTGAACTTTTAAGGGGATCTCAGGGAAGTCCAGGGACTTTCTGAAAGTCCAGATAATTTCTGAAAGGCCAGAGAATTTATGGGAAGTCCAGAGAACTTCAGGGTACTTGAAAGAGTTTTAACGAAATTCTGCGAAAAATGGAAAAGTAGATAGATATTCACAACAACCTAAAAATCTTTATAGAACTTACGTGAAGTTCGGGGAAGTGCCTAGAACAATGGCTTATCAAGGCTCGGATCTGGACATACATAGAGCTCATGAAAATTTATTACGACTCAAAAAAAGTTTGGTAACAAAACGGATTGATTGGGTTGTATGAATAACTTCCTTCCCTGTTAGTATTATTAAGTTTTATTTCGAGTTATACCCTCTATACCCATAACTCACTGTCTATTAAAGGGAACTTAATTGTGCTTTCATGTACGTTCCTATATTCAAATTATCGCTCATATGAAAGTTCAGCGAGTAACCAGCTCTCAATTTACCACTGATAGAATGTAAGGGTGGATTTCTTACATCTTCTGCTTGTTTTCTTTCAACAAATCTGAAGTCCTTTTCCAAACCCCTTTTAATTTCATCAAAATCGATTAATTTGATTCGCTTATTACCGCGAATTGAGCAGTGGATTTGCAACATTGTTGCATACAATCAAAATTTAGCGGTGCCGGTGGTGTAGTGGTTAACGTGATTACCTCTCACCCCAGCAGGCCTGGGTTAAATCCCAGTCGGCGCCGCTGGGATGTTCCGAGGCATAACATCTCTGATCATGCCTTCCTACAGAGAAGTACAGCCGTTGGTCCCCGGTTCATGAGTTTATGGGTCGATAGGTAGGGTCCAAATGTGGGAGCTGTCTCCCTGGTGTCGGTAGCATTAGTGCTCAGCACGGAAACAAGATCGACGGAAAACAAATCAAGGAAAAAATAAAATCAAAAGTTCAACTATTACATTAAAGATGCTACGCATCAGTTTTGCAAAAATACAACAGGAAAATGTAATGTCAGTTCTTAAATGGACTGAAGCGTAAGTAAGTAAGTAAGTTTTTCTAGAATTAATATTTTCATACAAAATTTTCGAGAGATAATTTTCAAGCTGCAGTGGATTTAAGGAAATAAACAGTGTTCGAAAAATATACTAACACATAAATTTCAAAAGATTTTGAAAAACCTTACGCAGACCACATTTCAAAATCGGTTCATGTGGTTAAACGTTACAAAGTCTGGATGCTTTTTATGCAAATCTGTAATAGAATCTTAAATTTCCCGGGTGAGTGTTCTGCCCGATAATCCAAAGACGATTTTGTCGGAATATCATGGCGAAATATATGACAATTTAATTGAGAATAGATTTTTATTTTCAGTGCAGCTGGTTTCGATTCCGGTTATTTAATTAAAGAAACATGAGAATGAATAATAAAAGCAGAATTGTGACTATAATGAGATTATTATCCTGGTTATAATAGCAACATAAGACCATTTAGGAATCCGTTTAAAACCGTTATAAGAACTAAGTTTTCCCATGACAATCATTTATCAAGCATCTTTACCGCATCTTCGTTTGCGCAGCATATCACAACTTTGCATAAAATGACTCGTGCACTACATGATCCTTCTTTATGTCGGCCACCGATCGACAACCCGCCAAAGCCATAGCAATATCCAGCTCTTTCCTGAGAAGATCCAGAATATGTTCAACACCTTGCTGACCGTTAACTGCCAATCCCCAAAGAGCCGGCCTACCAAAGAATACCATCTTTGCACCCAGCGCAACTGCTTTGAAGATATCCGTTCCTTCCGTCACACCTCCATCGATTACGATTTCTGTTCGATCTCCAACGGCAGCAACGATCTCCGGAAGAGCTTCAATCTACGAAAATGTTGAATGTTCAAAGATGCAAGCTCAAATTTGTCAAAAAGTAATCTCACCGAAGCCGGCACCGAATCCAACTGTCTTGCCCCATGATTTGACACCCAGATTCCGTGAACGCCCATATCAGCAGCAAGCACGGCATCCTCCTTGGTAAGAATTCCCTTCACGATCACCGGGAGCTTGGTGAAGCCAACCAACCACTTCACGTCATTCCAGGACAACGTAGGATCCAACTGCTCCGTGATGTATTCGTTGATTCCCGATCCACCTTGACTCTGGACACCCGTCGCCAGATTCCCTTCAAAGTTTGCCAATCTACAACAGAAAACCATTTGTTACTAGCTTAAGAAATCCTATCTAACTGCCTAATCTTACACCAAATGCGGTGGAAGCGAAAACTTATTTCTCATGTCAGCTCTTCTCAGTCCGAACATTGGAGCATCCACAGTCAGCACGATGGCTTTGAAACCGGCATCCTCCGCTCGGCGGATCAAACTTTCCGTCACCTTACGATCGCGGTAGATGTAAAGTTGAAACCATTTTGGAGAACCTGGAGTCCCGGCTGCAACCTGCTCAATCGAACTGGTAGCAATCGTGCTCAGCGTAAATCCAACGCCACGACTAGCAGCTGCCTTAGCATTGGCCATCTCGCCTTCCGGATGAGCCATCCGCTGCATCGCCGTCGGTGAAATTCCGATGGGCATCGAATAGCGATCCCCAAACAGACTCACTGACAGATCGCGCTTGGCTCCACTATTCAACACTCGTGGACGGATGCGCAACCGATCGAAGCAGGTTCGATTCAACCGAAGAGACAGCTCGTCACCCGCACCGCTTCGATAGTAATCCAGTGCATTGCGGGGGATGATCTCGTAGGCACGCTTCTCGTAATCTTTCACCGATGCTAGTGCCATCGTTGAGGAATAGGTTCCGACTGACGCGCTTGTACGAACTTTAAATGCGACCTAAGCTACTATCGCTGGAGTGTAGCGTAAATATAACAATGTTTTACAATAGGATGGGAGATAATGACAGTCTGTCTAGCTGATAAAGCCTCCCGCTTTACAGAGATAACGAGATGAATTGAATACCTATACGCTCAAAGAGCAAGAGAGTAGCTGGGAGATAGAAACAACTGGTGCCTAACAAACAATCAAATGTTGTTTTCCTAAGCGATGGAAATGGAGAGTATCAGAAGTGTGTGTTTGTTTTGAAATATCAGCGTTCAGTGTTTGTTAACTTTCCATAACACCACTTAGCCTGATGTTGGATTTTTTTTGAACAGTAATAAAAACCATTACAAATATCCAATCAACTCGTACACCTTCCGGTGGTGGAGTACAAGTTCCGTTTCTTTTCGTGCTGTGGAAGAATGAAAACTTTGCCACGCTTCCGAATAACGAATCGTTAGTTATAAGTTCATTTCGATTGCCAAGCACAAAATGGACCAGAGGTGGGGAAGCCACACGACTCCAAACTGTGATCGGAAAAGCATCACCTGTTAGTATATAGGTATGTGTCCAATCACAAAAAGCAACAGTGGAAACTTTCCTATTCAGCCGAAGTGAGCAGGGATGGCGAAAACGAAACAATCATTAAAAATTCACCCGAACGACAAATGAGTTTGGTGAAAGTTTTCATTCCATTCCATTTTCAACACATTGATCGGAAGTTGCGGAAAATTGTTGGATCCTGGCTTGTCGTTCTTTTTTTTGTTATGCTGTCCCTCGTAGAATCGTTAAAAGCATAGCAAATACCTCCCTGGGTAAAACTAAATTTTTATCATCTGTTTTCTCTTCTGCTCATCTGCTGGATAATGGTGCATTGGATTTGATCTTGTATTTTTTTCTTCTGTATTTTTCCATTTTCAGGTTACGGGAATCGTGGGACGGGCGGATGTGCTGGCGTGTATATTTTTTCTCATCTCGCTCCTGGCGTACCATGGGTAAGTTTGGTGAATTATTTAAGATATGATTAGGTGTTGTTTAGTTGTTGTGAAGTTTCTAATGATATGACATAGACAATCATAAACCAAGTGCCTCCTTGGTACGTTTTTCAGCTTTACTAGTGGATTTATCCTTCGTAGGATTGTTTTATGTAGAGAGGGTCTAGTATAAGAGAGGAGCAGATTCAAAACAAACTGCCGTGGCAACCTATGCCTAGGTGATTTCTAGCAACACTGCCAATGCTATCAAGATAGGTGCTGCTGGATTGGCTCTGGCTTTGACAGTTCGTTTGGCTCAAAAACAGCCAGTCTGGTATTCTCTTGTACTACTAGACTCTACTATGTCCTCCCTCTGATTACAGGATATGGTCGATATTTTCCAGGTTTAACACAATTGATCTACTATTCGACGATAGGACTTTGAACTTCTTTTTTTTAAATTCATTTATTTGTTAAGACTCAGTTTGGATTTGCGGATATATTAACAATATTTCTTATAACTAAAGTTAGTAGAACGGGGGCCAATTACAAGGTTAAGGACTTCAATTTTGAAACAGTTTGTACCTGGACTTGGGACAAAATATATGGGGATGAATTATTGTTTCAATCTCCGTGGAGGAAGCACTGGAGTGGCAAGCAAGTGCTCTGAATCTCTAAAGGTGAATGGACGATTGAATGGGCAGCTGAAACAAATTACATAAAAGGGCCTATCTTGGAAGAACAATGAGATGAATGACACATAGTTGAAAAAAACAAACTACTAAATACTCATAAAATTCTCAAATTGATCCGTTTTAGAAAATTGTAAATCAACTTTAAATATTCTAGCCAGAACGTCTCTAACGGATGTAGCAGGTGGTTTTCCCTTAAGGTTCAATTTACTTTGATGCTTTTTCGAAAAATTGAAGAGCAGTTTTTTTCGACGCATTAGTTCAGATTGCAAAATGCTCGCACTATTCGATTCCTTTGCTATTCTACACAAAATGACGCTAGCTTTTAGCAATCTGAAATAATGCGTTGAAAAAAACTGCTCTTCAATTTTTTCGAAAAAGCATCAATTGAGCCTTAAGGATGCACACAACTCAGATCTGGCAACACAGTATGAAGTACAAGACCAAAACCATGCTCGGTGTCGTGGTAACCGTCACCACCGGCGCAAAGATTGCTGCCCTAGAGCCCAATCCGATCAAGATGTGAGTCCAACAAAAAGTGATTGGACATGAGCCTAGACATGACGTTGAAAAATTCACGGTAGCCATCTTAACCAGCTTTCTCGTTACCCTGAATAGAGTAATGAGAATGGACCCAATCCAAGGTAACAGTGTAGGAGCAATTAGATAAAGCACTCAGGGTAAACCGGATTCCAAACAGGAAATACGACGAGTGCTTCATCGGTCTCATTGAACGAATAGCCTCCAGTGAGCTAAGGCTGTCTTTCCCAAGTAACAATTCTGCAATCATTTGGCATCCACTCTGATTTATGATGGTTTTATAATGGCAATGAATAATCCATTTAGTTTAAATACCGCATTTCACAGTGTAAAATTTTCATGCTTAGTAGTTCATTTTTTCGCTGTTTTAAAAACCTTTTACAGTCTGGCGAGAAGTCAAAAACTGTCTAGATTAAAATTAAATTTAAAGAAGTTCTCAATCCCACCATAAAACTGTTCTAAAAATCAATCATTAACTTCATTAGCAATTTTTTATTAATGTCTTGATAAAATAATCTATAAACCTGTTCTATCATTATAAAAGCGAACATAAAACCATTCGGTTTTAAATGAGAGTAAAATATATATATTGTTGCCTTTTAGGCTTTTAAAAGTTTATCATAAAATCTCCTCTATTTACAAATTAAACTTTATGGATGGATCCTCATAGTGAATAAAAACCAAATTAATGACAAGGATATATCGAAAGATAAACGAAGTTGGAGGACAAATTCAAGCGATGCTAACGACCGAAGGGAAGTCGATGTCAGTAAAATTTAGTTCTTTAGAAGAACCAGCACGTCCGGCAGAGCGGGTACCATCAACGACTGAGAATCTGGGGGAGAAGAGTGAAGTGAGCGTGGTCCTCAAATTCATAAAACATTGTCAAAACAGTCTGAAACAGACCAGCCTTCTCCAGACCTTGCGAATAGATGAAGATCGGAATAACAGCAAACCCCTGAAACTGTCAGTTAGCGGACACTAGTTGGTTTCCGATTTATAGCTGCGATTTTATTCGGTGAAAGGGTCATGACTTGGAAAAAAATCATTCAACCGTACATTCCTGCATCATTTGATGGTGCACTTCTAGAACCATCCGGAAGAAGGGGATCTTTTCGAGAATGAACGAGGTTACAGCTGTGCAAAGTGCGAAAAGTTGTGAACACTTCTGAGTAACTGCCTTCAAGCCATCAGGAAAAAATCGCCTGGAAGAACGCTGAATCGCACAGTGCAACTATCGAAAGATAAACAAACTTTGACGTTTAACATTTTGTAGGCAAAATTTCCGCCATAAATGCTGCCATAAATCTGAACGGGTTAGGATCAAGCAAAATGGCTTTAGATAAATACAAGTCTACAAGTTTCTTCATAAAAGCCATTTCAAAACCTTATGAATTAGTTAAGGATTTCTTGAAAGCAAAATAACTTTTTCCTAAATGGCCAAGAAAATCAACTTTTATGCCTCCGCCATATTACAATTATTTTGTTTGTTTTTTACAATCTACGATTTTCAATCTATATTTCCTTGGATATAACTTTATTTTAGTTAATTTAGCAATGAGAAAATATTAAGAATGCAAAAATCATGAGAAATAAAAATCTCGTCTAAGCTTAATGATCGATCTGAAGAATAGATTTTTTTTCCTTAATGTTAAATAATTAGTAAAATCGATGTTTTCTGTGGGCGGACTCAAGTTTTTCGATGTTGTTACGTACATTTCACATCTAATTTTAAATGGCACCTAAAACTAGGCCACTTAATGAGAACTATTTTATAATTTTTGAAATTCGGCAGGATTTTTATACGATCAGTAATTATTTTGATAAAATCGGATGGTATTTATGAATCCATTTTTATCTTTATTGTTGTTTTTTTCTAGTGAACCTAGCAAGCAGCTAGGGTAAATGGCTCGGATAATGGTTTTAATTGTTGCCAAATAGCTTTTATTGTAGCTTAAATACGGTTTTGGAATGGATCTCAATGCGTTTATCGTAAAACCATTTTGCAGTAAATCAATCTTGAAGAGCTTCGAAAATATACCCTTCAGAACCTTTTCCAGAGTGGGCCAACTAGACAGATTATAGCATCAATGAGATTTTGGTGGATGCATCAATGGCAAAGCAGTCTTGACCAGGGTTTTATGAATGTTGTTTTAAAGTAGCTTTGTAGTATTTCATAAAACTTAAAATGTTACTTGGGTTGTAAATGAAGTTATGGTCAGGTGGAAGTGACACATTTTGCTCTAATGCAGATGATATAGAGGCTAGCTCCGCAACGTAAACTGAGCAGAATTTCTGAAGTTTATAGAAGTTGATATGAAATTAATTGAATGTTCCAAAACCAATGGACGGTCGACTGTTAAACATTTCTTCTTTTGACTGACGTGGCGGTATTTAATAGCCAAAAATTGAGGGATTAACCATCGAACGATGATTATCTGGTATTCCATGGACTTCTTGCTTCGTGGTCAGATCAAAATGTACAGAGGAACTGTAGAAGTCTTGGAAGCAAGCACGATTGGAGTTGAACAAAGACGGCCCAACCTCCAGCGTAATTAATTCGTAGTACAAATTCATGAATCCAGTTTGTGGATTTTGGTCGAGCAACTTCTCAAACTTCTCTTTAACCAATGGAATCACTTCGTAACGCATGAGAAACCGGAAAGACAGCTCAGTGAAACGTTAAGGAGAGTACGCCTACGAGTACTTCAAGACTCATCGTATGCGTCGAGTGCATCATACAGCCTAACGTGATACGGAGACAACGATACTGAATCCGTTCAAAATGTCTGTGTTTGCCGTTAACTGAAATACCGGTGATAGGGGGGAGAAAATTGATTATTTGCTGGCAATTCCGCAATTTAGGCCTCAAACACGCAATATGTTTTCTTCAAGTGCATTAAGAATCTAATCAGACACCTTAATACTTAAAAGACATGCTACATATGAGTGATCGTTTTACTCATGAGTTGAAGCTGTATCTTTTATTTTTTTATCTAGTTCGTTTATTTGGAAGGCTCAATCGCGTTAGCTTTACGGAGCCGATAATTCATTGTTCACTGTGTGTAACAAAATTCACTTAATTCTATGTCTAGTAGGAGTTGGGCCGATTACTCGCGGCTTACTCGAGGTTAGAAGGGTACATTTTCGAAGGATAGGATCAGGGGAGGAGCTTGGGGTAGAGTTTCGTTGTCTCATCAGAGCGTTGTCGCCAGTATGAACGGTAGTGCTGTTCTAGCTTCGTCCGGAGTTCGACCGGCTATGGTGGGTGACCAGTGGGCGACGATGAGACTCATCGAGACGGGGGGACAAGACAAACAAAAACTAATAAAGAGAGACAAAAGACAAAAGGAATTAAATTCTTATACTAGACATTTGAAGAAAAACATAAACGGACTGCATATAGCAGAGATCGCGGGTTGCCAACACGTCTCTGATAGGAACATAGGGTTGTCTTCCTTGGGCCTCGAGGGTATTCAAAAGTCGCTCTCTGGCGGCGTCATTATCCGTACATTGCCAAACTGCGTGTTCGATGTCATCGTAACCGTTTCCACACCGACAGATGTTGCTGTCCACGAGGTTTATTCTATTGAGATGAGCATCTAGCGAGTAGTGGTTGGACATAAGTCTACTCATCACGCGAATAAAGTCACGACTTAAGCCCAAGCCTTTAAACCACGCTCTCGAAGAAACATTAGGAATAATTGAATGTAACCACCGTCCAAGATTTCCAGTGTCCCAATCGGTTTGCCAACTCGAAAGGGTACTCTGACGCACTAAATGGTAAAA